GAGTATAATCCAGATTTTATTCCGTATAATCTGGATTATACTAGCTACCATCTGAAATTTTTTTTCACCTCAGATGTCACTGAGTGAAATAATCTGAGATGGTGTCCAGTGTCATCTTGTTCTTTCCGTGTAGAAGACACGGAAAATATTCCATAATTCAACTAAAAAAGTAGAAAATAATTTTTTTTTTTCATTTTAAAGCAATTACAATTTCTGAAAATTGATAAAATTAATTTAGCAGATATTTAATCAATTTTAGAACTTTTGTTAACAAATGAATTATGGCAAAAAAAAATTAAGAAAAAAAATTGACATGAAGAAATTTTATAAAATTAAAAATGCAATTTTTAAAAAATAATTTTTTAAAATTAATTTATTTTTTAAATAAAATTAAATAATAATTAATAATTGATTATAATTTAGTTTGATTTGTTTGTAAAATAAACAAGCTATGAAGTAATCTCTTCTTGCATTAGACAAAATTAAAAAATCCGCCAGAGAAAATTACGGACGCGTGTAGTATGCAATAAAGTGTATAAAAATGATTGATTTATAATTAATTATTATATGAATCGTTTATCCTTTGAATAATCAAATAAAGTATTTATTAAAATCTAAAAATCTAATTATAGATAAAAATAAATAGCTGGTTAATTACTCTTAAACAAAACTAACATTTGTGGCTGCAGCTCTCAATCAAAATACGAAAATACACAAAATATATAAAACAAAGTACCTCGGTGCTATATATTTATTGTAATTTAAGTGGCGAATCTTTATTAGCCCATAGCTTCATTAAAAAAAGTAATTGTAACAATAATAATTATAATAATAATAACAATTATTATTATGCGTGTGATTGAACTTCAACAATAATAATAAAAGTATTAATATTTATAAAAAAATAAATTAATAATAGTCTCTCTCTCTTATTTCTCAAGGGCTGGACAATATTTTCTTACTTATAAATTTTTCATGTGAATATATATTGATGTTAATATTTTTGTGTGGTACACCATAGCAGCAAGTAAATATATATTTAATATATATGTGGATGATAAGCGACCATAGAGAACTAATTGATGTTTATTGTTCAATGTTATGCCAAATATGTGTACACGCTGATAAATTGCACGAGCCAAATGTTAAAAGTCCAGCCCTGGTCTTTAATTTTTTAGATTTTTTTATACACTGGGCTTTTTTTGGTTCATTTTTATCCAAATTTTTTAAAACCGTTTGAATTTTTTCTCTACGTTGACCCTCAAACTTTTTACTGTAGCGCAGAGCGCGGTTAAAAAAACTTATACTCGGAAAGGACAGGGTTCGATTCCTGGCCAGTGTTTTTTTTTTTTTTTTTTATTTTATTATTAAAATTGCGCACAAAAAAAAACCAAAAAAATCCCAGTCAGTATTAACCTCAAAAATCATCTAAATTTAATCTGAACATATCAAATAAAAAACTACTAAAAATTCTACAGCAATATTCCGCTCAATTCGGATAATCTCAATCGATCGATTTTAAAAATAAAAAAAAAATGACTTCTTCGTAGATAAAAATTGAAAAACTCAACGCGTCGATCGAACTTTTTATCTTTGCTTTGATATTCTAACAGAATTTTTAAAAAATTGAAAATAAAAGTGTCATATAATAATAAATAATAAATAATAAAAAATAAACAATAAATATTAATAAATAAATAAATAAATAAATAAACAGTACTAATTGTAATATTAATAACTTACGTACTTGGTCAATATTGGAAGGATCGTCGCCTTCGATAACGAAGCACTGGCGCTGTTGTCACTGTCCAAACGCTTTTTATATAATGAATGTGTTTTATTAGTCTAATAAATAAAATAAATAAATAAATATAAAATAAATTACCAACCTTGAAATTTTAGACGTTTGCAGAGAGTCCATTTAAAAAGCCAAGTAACAATATTATATTAAACATAACCTTCTTTCTCTTGCCGGTTCCTCAAAAAGATCTTGATAACCTAAAGAAGAAATAAATCATAAAGATTATTATTATTATAATCGGATTTTTGAACTTTGGGCACGTGAAATAGATGTACAAGATGTAATTATATCAATTGGATAGCTAGCGTAAAGTCCTTATCTTCTTTAAACACAAGTGTATAATAAAAATATCATGTAATTAATTATTGAAGTATATATATATATATATATATATATATATATATATATATACATTGACAAGTGATTTATTGTGAGTCATTTAAATAATTGTTATATGTATTTTCTATATATTGTAACCGTAAATATATGTATGGATATATTTATGTTGTATTAAATATTAAATTCACCGATTATTGATTACCGATCAAGAATAATTGTAGAAGAATAATAATTGTAATTGTAGGTTATGATTCTCAAATCAACACAACTCTACGATAGCTCTTATTGCAATGTATGCAGATAATGATAATAATAATAATTATGATAATGATAATTTTAATATTAATAATAATTAATAATAAACAATAACATCTCTGTATGAAATAAATGTGAATTTAAATCGAAAGAAACAAAATAATGTATTTTCTCACTCTCACTGCGAAGTGAATGTTCAACGCTTCATCTTATTTCGAAAATATATATTATATATATGATAATTATTATTAATTTTATTATTATTTATTTATAGAAAGACGAACTACGCTATATTTATATATGTATACATATTTATTAATCCATATATTAATGCCGGTATGTGTATGTATATAAATATGTGTTGATATATGATGATGATAATGATGATATTATTATTATAAATAAATGAATATATATATAAAATTACTGTATAATTGTAACGAAAATTGTTTTTAAACGATGTGGTATTTTTATTGTAGATATTATTGCATAACGAATAAATGATTAATTGTAAACTTTATTATTATTTTACCTGAAAATTTTTATTGCACGCCTCGTAGCGCAAAGCGCGTGAAATTGTGACTCGACTCGTCAAGGTCAAGCAATTTTGTGATCTTTAAATGCCTCTATCACAACCATATTACACTTATACAATAATCTAAGTAGATATACACCGAGAAAACATTTAAATTAAACCATCTTTTATTTTCTAAAATCATTTCTTGTTGCTATTTTGAAAGAAAAAACGTTTTGAAAAAAATTTTACGTGGACGTCCTGATGTCACCCCATTTTGGATGTAACAACGATTACTCCCGAACAAATTGATATTTCAAGACCGGACCTTTTTTATTAGTTTAAGAATTCGATTAACTGGGTCCGTATTTCCTATCAGTAACCTAGTTTACATATTTTTTTTTTAAATTGAATTTTTATTCAAATTCACTACGATACAACCGTACAAAGACAAACGAACTTTTCTTATTTGTCACGTGAAAACTATGGCGCCACTTGATCAAGCTAGATTTTTTTAGACTACTTACGCATACGGCAAGAAAAAAGAGCGCCGATATTTAAAAAAAAAAAAATAAAAAATACTCTGTAAGAAATTGCTTAATTATAATTTTTTTTTTTAATCAATTACACAATTTATTTTTTTCTTAAAAAATGATTGAGCGTTATAAGGCGTGCCCTTTTGGATTTTCCAAACTTTTTTTAACTTTATGGAAAAAACAAGATGACACTGGATAACATTGTAGATTATACTCGGCGATATCTGGTAGGAAAAACATTTGAATACGCGCACGATTTCTTTTGACATTTTTTAAGATATAAGCTCATTCTGATGTTAAGCTCATCGCGACCTTCCATTTAAATACCCACACGAGTTTTTTTTATTATATGTATTTCATATATTTAAAAAATATGAGAGATATCATACATATAAAATATATCAAAAAAATCGTGTGCGTACTCAAATGAAAGGTCTCGCCAAGTGTAACTCCAGAATGAGATTATATCGTTGAAAATATGATTAGTAGACGAAATACAATGTCATTTCTTAATTATTGACATTTTTAAAGATATAAGCTCATTCTGATGTTACGCTCATCAAGACCTTTCATTTAAGTACCCACATGCATTTTTGATATATTTTTCATATATACATATACATAATATATATAAATATATGAAATATATGAAAAATTGATGTAGGTACTCAAATGAAAGGTCTTGATGAGCGTACAAGATACAAGGTCATTTCTTAATTATGGATATTTTTAAAGATGTAAGCTCATCTTGATGTTACAGTCATCAAGAGTTTTCATTTGAGTACCTACATGCATTTTTGATATATTTTTCATATATACATATATACATATATATATGAAATATATTTAAAAATTGATGCGGGTATTTAAATGAAAGGTCTCGGCGAGTGTAACTTCAGGATGAGCTTATATCGTTAAAAATATCATTAGTAGACGAAATACAATGTCATTTGTTAATTATTGACTTTAATAAAAAATATGCGGATTTTGAATTATAAGTATTCAAGTACTGGGTACTTTACCTTAATGCTATTGGTTAAATATATCGTAAGTACGGAAATATACACAAATCCACATTTAAATTAAAGCGCGCTTTTGCGCGCGCAATTTAAATTAATTCAAAAAATCCGATAAAATACATCTTTAACTTACCAACGCCCAAACTTACCAATAAAAGATGTCGCTTTTATCACTTTTACCACCTCAAAGCTTACATTTAACAATTTGAATGAATATAACCTCACTTCAGTAGCCAACACAGACTAGAGCCTCCAACAATTACAAACTGCCCAAATAATTAATTTTATAATATAATTTTTTTACACATATATTTAAATAAAAACAAATATATTTTTATAAAAAAAAACCTCGAGGAGTACTCTAAACTAACCACAAAGTTGTTGAAAAATATTTATTAGCTAAAAAGTGTCTTACAGTAGTTTTTTAAAGCAAAGTTGAGAGTGACACAACCTATATTTTCCATGTTAAATGTTATATTTGTAAATATATTTAATTAATAGATTTAATAGCCGAATAAAATAATTTAAAAATTAAAATGTCCGAGGAACTGAAAATTGACCACCGAGCACGGAAGCGCATCAAGGAAGTTAAAAAAAAAGCCAGGCCTGGTAAGTCATTTATAACCTCTCTCTTATAAATTTATTTTGTGTGTTTTTAAAAGTTATTTTTTTTATTTTTTTTTATATTGATGGGGTAATATGGTTATTTTTTAGAACTGGCGGACAAGGCGGCTTGGACCCAGCACGAGTACGTCAAAAAATTAGCAGAATTTTGGAAATTTGAGGACAATGTTGACCGCATCGATGAGTCACAAGTTTCTTGTGATGAATTTATTAAATTATACGAGAAACCTTACAAACCTGTGATAATACGAGGTGTTCAGACGGAATGGAAGGCCCAGTACAAATGGACTGTTGAGGTATTTATTTGGTTTTTTTTTTTTGTAATAAAGAATTTATAATACATTAAAGTAAGCAGTCACTAGAGAATTTTTTAATTTTTTTTAACACAAAAATTTGTTCCAAAAAATTATTTAAAAAAAATTCCATTTTCAAATTTTTAAAATTTCTACTTGTTAATTTTTTTTATACCTTTTTTTGCCATAATTTATTTGTTAAAAAAAATTCTAAAAATTATTAAATATCTGCTAAATTTAATAACACTGAAGTTAGCAGACGTTTAAAAATTTTTGATTTTTTTTTTTTTTTTTAATTAAATTACAACCAAAAAAAAATTTATAAAAAATTGCACTTATAGTTTTTCAAGTTTTTAACATATGATATTTTTTTTTTAATTGTTTAATTGAAATTTTTTCGATAAAAAATTTATAAAAATTTTGAAATGTCAACTAACTTAATTTTCATTAAATTTATAATAATAATAATAAGTTTATTTAGCTATTTAGCTATGTACAAGTCGTTTACAATTTCATTATGATAATACAAATATACATTTATTACGTTTTATACTATCAAAGAGCCCTATATTCTCTTTCACATATTTTTTTAAATCAATTTTAAAAACATTAATTCTTTTTTCGTTCATAATTTTATATGGAAGCTTATAATACCAATTTAAACCTCTATAAACAATAGATTTTTCTGCAGTTAGTATTCTGGTTTTTGATAAAGTTAAAGTTGACGCAGATCTAGTTTAATAAGTAGCAGTCACTTGAATAAAAATCAAACTAGCTGACATATAAAAATTTTTAGAATTTTTATTATTGAAAAAATTATTATAATAAAATAAAAAAATTGTTTGGAAATTACTTTAGCAGATATTTAATAATTTTTTTTTTTTTCACAAATTGTGGCAAAAATAATGAGAAAAAAAATTTACATGTAGAAATTTAATAAAATAAAAAATGCAATTTTTTAAAAATAATTTTTTTTTGCAAATATAGTTGTTAAAAAAAAATTTTTAAATTAAGAAGTGACTGCTAACTTTAATGTCATATTTTTGTAATAAACAAATTGTGACAAAAAAAAGATAACATCTTCAAAATAGCACCTCATTTGATAAATAGAGAAGATCAGTGGATATTAACACCTCTCAGAATCGGACACACAAATTTTACACACAAACACTTATTTGAAAAATAACCACCACCATGATGTCAATTACCTGTATACATTCAAGAATGTCTAAATAATATTAGTAATTTCAATAAAGTAAAAAAATTTTTTAAAATAACTAAACTAATCAAAGAAATTTAATTGGTTGTAAATTCTATTATTAAAATAAGTTAATATTTATACGATGACATTGTAAATATATCCTTTAATCAAATGGATATAACGGTCGTTAGTAACCCATTGGTTGAAGCAACCTTAAATCTTTAATAAAAAAAAAAAAAAGTAATTCTTAAAATTTGTCAAAATTAGAAAATTATGATAATTTAGGATCCGTTAAACACTTTTCAAAATTTTTCCTTTTCCATAACTCTTGAACGAATCAACTGATTTTGACGAGGTGGTAATTGACGTGATTTTTCAAACTTAAGAGCGGATTAGTTTCTGGAATTGATCGGTGGAGCCATTTATTTATTTATTTAATACAGACCCAACAGCCAAACGGCCAATAACAGGGTCATTAATCCATATAATTTTACATATGAACAGTAGTATACTAAATATTACATAAAGTAGAGTAAAAACAATAGAAAATAAATGTAGATTATAATTAATTCATTCATTAACAATATAATAGTTAGCTATTCCTATATTAAAATTTAGCTTAAAAGTGCTAACTAATAAATTAAGATATTATGCAAGTTAATAAGAATTAAGAATTAAGTCTAATACTTTACACAATAATTAATCAGATGTTATACATATATCTAGTTCATTTGAGATAGTTAAACTATGATTAATCATATACATATACAGTGCATCCCTAAGTTTAACTTAAAAAAAAAATTAAAGAAAAAACTAAAGAAAATTATACTGGCTTAGAAGTTAGTCCAAAAAACCTATTTTTTAAAAACGGAACGGAATGATTTGCTTGTACCAGGTTGTCACCGTATCAAATATAACAAATCTTTTTTAGTAAGTGCGATTAGAGTATGGAATCGGTTACCTTTATACTGCACCTTACAACCTACTTTTTCTGCTTTCCGTAAAACATGTTTTGAGTTTTTGTTGAGTGAAGAGAATGCTTGATTTAATTACAATCTCTAATGAAATGTTTTTTATCTGATGATGGAGTGATTGATGTATTGATGTATTTATTATATTATAGTGTATTAATAATATTTGTAATACACTACTTTTGTTAATTTACATTCATTATAATGTATTTTAGAAGACCGCAAGGAGCTACGACTTCATGGCCTTAAAATAATAAATAATAATAATACGCATTCACATACATACATACAGCCGCAAAACGGGCTGAAACCAATAACTTCCCGAATTTTAAAAAATGTTTAATTTTTCTTAGGGGTCATCCATAAATTACGTCACACCTCAAAGGGAGGGAGGGTATTACCAGAATGTAACATTGTGTGACAAGGGGCAGGGAGTGTCAAAAGCTTTGTGACATCACATGTTAAAATTTGAATTACTCAAACGCGAAACTTATAGGGTAGAAGGACCGTTTTTGGCCACCTTAGAACAGTTTTTGGCCAGTTAACATTTGAATTAATTTATAAAAAATTATAATATTATAACCATATTTTTGTTGAGTTTTAAAAAATGTATATTAAAACAAATTGAGTTTGTAATAGTTTATTAATATGAATTCATTTCTATCGTTTATTGGAACAATAAATGGCCATAAACGGTACAGTGGCCACAAACGCTACTTCAACCCTATGTGAATAAAAAACTTTGAATATTTACAAACTCAAATTATATTTATTAACAACATCTAACTTCTAAAGCGGCGTTGTAATGCAAGTGAGATACTAAAATTCTCACAAGTTCTGAATAGTAAGGGTCTGAGTAGATTTAAATCGTCGGCGAGTGCTCACTCGCTTTTTAAAAAAATGAAAATAACTGTTTCTTTTTAATTATTCTTAAACACATGCATAAAATTGAAAAATGTGTGACGTCACATCAAGAAGGAGGGGGTTCGAAAAATGTGACAACCTGTGACAAGGACGGGGGGAGGGGTTAAAAAGTCCTGAAATTCGTGTGACGTAATTTATGGATGACCCCTTAGCGGGAAGTTAAAAAATTAATAATAAAATAAAATTTTCAGAGATTAGCCAAAAAGTACCGTAACCAAAAATTCAAGTGCGGAGAAGACAACGAGGGATACAGCGTAAAAATGAAGATGAAGTACTACGTCCAGTACATGCGGAACAACGAGGACGACTCGCCTCTGTACATCTTCGACAGCTCGTTCGGGGAACACCCGAGACGGAAAAAGCTCCTGGAGGACTACGTGATTCCCAAGTACTTCCGGGACGACCTGTTCCAGCATGCGGGGGAGCACAGGCGCCCACCGTACCGGTGGTTCGTGATGGGTCCGGCGCGTTCCGGAACCGGGATCCACATCGATCCCCTCGGAACAAGTGCCTGGAACGCCCTGATATCCGGACACAAGCGCTGGTGTCTCTTTCCGACACACACGCCAAGGGAACTTTTGAAAGTTACCGGCTCCGAGGGCGGGAAACAGCGAGATGAAGCCATAACCTGGTTCTCGGTGATTTATCCCCGGACTAAACTTCCATCCTGGCCGCAAGATTGTCTGCCAATTGAGATCCTCCAGGGCCCCGGGGACACCGTCTTTGTTCCCGGAGGCTGGTGGCATGTTGTACTCAACCTCGACGAGACGATAGCCATCACCCAGAACTTCTGCTCCCGCACCAACTTCCCCGTCGTCTGGCACAAAACTGTTCGCGGCCGCCCGAAATTGTCTAGGAAGTGGCTCAAAGTTCTCGCGGAAAAAGAACCGGACTTGGCGGCTCTCGCGACTACTATTGATGTGGAGAAGGACACTGGCGTTGCCAGTGACTCCTCCAGTGGGTCTTCCAGCAGCTCTTCCTCTAGCAGCTCCTCCAGCCAGTCTGAAGATAGCGAAGAAGACAGCGGACAGGAATCTTTGTCCGCTCACAAGAAGAAGAAAAGGTAAAATATCTTTTTAATAGAGAATTTAATTTTCTATTCAAAAGTAAACAATGATTTTTTGGTAAATTTGATGTTAGGCATAATTTGAATTTTTTTTTTTAATTTTTGAAACTTGAAAAAAGATTTTTTTTCTTCAATTTAATATTTGAAACTTTAGTTTAAAATTCTGGCTTAAATATCATAGAGAAAAAATATATCAGTACTTTTTTGTAGCGAATTTTATTTTTTAATAAAAAATATTTAATAATTTTTTCTAAAGGTAATATTTAAGGCAGGATTTGAACTTTTGGTAATTTTGAACTTGGAAAAAAAAATTTTTTTTCTTTAATTTTATATTTTAAAATTATGGTTAAAATATGGGCGGATAAGGAAAAAGTATGTCAGTTTTTCTTTGTAGAAAATTTATTTTTCTACAAAAAAGTATTTGATAATTTTTTTTGCAAAGTTCTTATTTAAGTCAGAATTTTAATTTTTTGTAATAATTAATCTTGAAAAAAAAATTTTTCTTTAATTTGATATTTTAAAATTTGATTGAAAATTTTGGCTAAAATATCACAGATAGAGAAAAAATATGTCAGTACTTTTTTGTAGAGATTTTCATTTTCTATAAAAAAGTATTCAATGATTTTTTTTTTTTGGAAAGTTGATATTTAAGGCAGAATTTGATTTTTTTTTTTTTTTTAATTTTGAACTGTAAAAAAAATTTTTTTTTTTTTCAATTTGATATTTAAAAATTTAATTTAAAATTTTGGCTAAAATATCACCGATAGTGAAAAAATGCGTCTCAAAAAATATTGAAAATTAAAATTTTGTCAAAAATTTAAAAAATAAATAAGACAAAACAAATTTGTTATAATGAATAATATTTTATTTATTTTTACAGAAGAAAATTAAACAATCAACCCTGACAATGTCACGTACGTGAGGCCCTCAACAAGGTTCAATTGTACAGTATTAATCATTCATTATTATTGTTTGTACTGAGAATAAATATTATAATAACTATTGGAACAATCTATCTGTTCATAATAAAATGAGAGCTAGATATTGCCAAAATTTAATTAAAACCTCGGTACAGCCTTCTGTTAATTTTATTTAATTTAATATAATATAATACAATATATCTACTTAACAATACTTAACCTCAATAATCCCAGTATCTAATTTAGGCGACGGTTCATCAGTTTTAGTTTAAAATCTAACCTTAAATGACCTCTTGCATTCCCACCATTTGCGTTAAAAAAGTAAAAAAAAATCTATACATAAATAAATTAAATGCAAACAATACTGCATTTAAATCTCTTCATTTGGTCATTCATTTATCTAATTAATTCATTTTATTGGTTGGTAATAGCTACGTAGTGATTAGGAATAACTATAGTACAATAAATTACTGCGACTAGTCAACTCGAGGACTATATATCCATAAAAATTTTTTAAATCATCGAAATGCATGAATTAATTTTATAAATAAATTAAAAATAGTATTTTTATAAAAAAAATTAATAAATTTTGGTAATTAATTATAATCAAACATGGGCATGATTAGGAACATGATCAGTGCTAGTGACATTATTATTTTTTGGAACACGATCAGTTCAAGGAATGATATGAGTACTAGGAACATGATCATTGAAACAGTATTTTTGCTAGGAACGGGATCAGTGCAAGGAACATGATCATTTTTAGGACTATGATCAATGCTAGGAACATAGTCATTGTTTTTAACATTTTCAGTGCTAGGAACATGATCAGTGCAAAGAATGTGACCGTTGATCATTGTTCAGAACATGATCAGTTCTAGGAACATGATTAGTTTCAAGAACATGATCGGTTCTAAAAACAGCCTCAGTTATAGAAACATGGTCAATTCTAGGAACAAGATCAGTTCCTAGAACATGATCAGTTCTAGGAATATGGTCAGTTATAGGAAAATGGTCTGTTTTAGGAACATGGTCAGTTCGAGGAACGTAACAGTTCTAGGAACACGATCAGTTCTAGGAGCGAGATGAGTACTAGGAACATAATCATTGGAACAGTATTTATGCTTAGAGCTAGATCAGTGCTAGGAGTATGGTCATTGTTTTAAACATTTTCAATGCTAGGAACATGATCATGGTTCGGAACATGATTAGTGCTGGGAACATGATTAGTGCAAGGAATATGACCATTTATCATTGTTCGGAACATGATCAGTTCCACAAACATGATCAGTTCCAAGAACATATTCAGTATTAGGATTAAGATCAGTTCCTAAAACATGGTCTGTTCTAGGAACATATTTAGTTTTAAAAACATGTTCAGTTCTAGGAACATCATCCGTTCCAGGAACAGGATATATAGAATAAGAAAGGAAATAAATATAAAAAAATAAAAATCCTCGAGTCGTTACAGAACGGATAAATGCAATGAACTAACCCCAGTATAGGCCAGTAATTAAATCAAATACTCATTATTATCTTGATGACTAATTCTGTCGACAGTTACAGTCTCCATTGGTGGTAACTGTTAGCATTTTAAGGAGTTGCTTCGCTGAAAAGTACGTGGCTGGTCACGTTTATTGAAATAGCTCCAGAGTCTTATAGTTCCATCACTGATCGGCAAATGTTGTTGATCATCAGCGGAATAATAAATCCCATGCAAATGGAAAAAAAAGTGATGCATGAATAATAATGAATTGATGAGTGCAAATAATTAAATAAATAAGCTTATGATAATGATAATGATTATGAATATAACAATGATAAAAAAGCAAAATAATTAGTCAAGCAAATCAGCAAGAGCTAGATGGACATTGTGGACATTGACATCAAGGAAAAAGGATCTGGGACTCTCCAGAGCTTAATTTCTCCCGAGCTGCAATCAATAAAGTATCTTATAGCTTTAAGTTCTATTCTAATGGAGATTGTCGATCATAAATTGATGATGTCTAATTAATCAGTCATATAAACTAGTACTTACTTGCTGGCGGTGAAAATATGCTGTTGATTGGTCACCACCGCGTTTATCGCCGATCCGTGGGCCCGCACTTCACCAAGAAGATTGCATTCACCCGTTGATTCTCGGGATACTGACCAAGCCCGAAGAAATCCTCCTCGACAGCCGGAAATCATTATAGAACCGGCGTTTATTGTACAGAGACCCAGGATCCAGTCTTTATGGGCGTTATTTATAGATTGCACTAGTTCCATTTTGCTCAAGTCCCAACGCTTTATGCACATATCCCTAGAGCCTAAAATAAAAAAAAATTTTTCAAGATACTTAATAAGTCGATTTTTAAAAGAAATTTTTTCTGAGGAAATAATCCATATCTGATCATATATAATCTTAAAATATGGCCATATGTAGTCACATATGACCTATACATGAATCATGGTCATATATGATCTATATGGTCACATATGATTTATGTGACCATATATGATTTATATGACTATATATCAGTCATAATCATATATGATCTATATGGTCACATATGATCTATATGATCCATATGGTAATATATAATCCATATATGAGTCATTGTCACATATGACCCATATGGTCACATATGATTTATGTGACCATATATGATTTATATGACATATGCCTATATATCAGTCATGATAATATATGATATATATGATCCATGTGACCACATATGATCGATATGGGTCACATGTGACCCATACATGAGTCATAGTCATATATGACCCATATGGTCACATATGATCTATATGGTCTTATATAATCCAGAATCACATATAATCATGTTTTATGGCCATACAGGAACAGATTTGATCAAACATCTGACCGTATTTGATGGTCACATGACTATAAGTGATCTAGGATCATATATGGTCGTAATAAATGTGATTTGTTCTATATGATCTTATATGGCTTTACTTATGTTATCTATGATCATATATAATTGTATGTGATGGTCAGATATGATCATGTGATCTATGATCATATATTATGGTATGTGATAATTATATTGTCCGAAACGATTATATATGACTTACGTGAAGGTCACCTATGATCATATATGATGAAAAATAATCATATTTACCTGAGAAAAGTATTGATCCACTTGGAGCAAGACACTCAACTCCGTCATAATGTGGCGGAGCAAGACTAACTGCTTGTATTGCAGTGTTCTTATCAATCAGCGAAATCAGATGATCTTTGCTACCAGTGATAATCCTGCCGTCATTAGCCACCGCGAGACACATGACTGCAGCAGTATGAGGCGGATTAAACCTGCCAGTGAGGGTCAACTTCCGAAGGTCCCAGGTCCTTACTTTGTCGCTTGAAGCAGTATACAGCTCATGTTCATCGAGACTTAGTGCCAAATCGTTGATCGTATTCTCTCCTACTGGCAAATGCAACATTCTTGAAGGGGTTGCGTGAGACAGTGACCCATTTTGGGACTGTCCCGAAGAAAACAGAGTTTTTACACACGAGTTCGCAGCTCTCAAATCCCAGACTTTGACGTAAGCTGCTGAGACACTGAATAGTAAATTATTGAGTCGTGAATATTTCACAGCTACTACATTGTTTGGGTGACCTGACAACGTCATGTTCTCCAAACCCGTTCCAAGGTCCCATACTTTGACCGTTCGATCTAAAAATAAAGTAGTGAGTTAACATTTTTGGTAAAAAAAAATTACATCAAACATAATTAGATCTGATCATATTGATGATAAATTTAGAGCAGATATATTTATATTTGTTTAGATCAGACGTTATATAATAAAAAATGTTCAGATAGAGATTATCATATTTCATCAGATCTGATATTTAGTAGCCAAATTTTATCAAATCTGATGTTGTTTGGTCAAATCTGATCAGATCCGACGTTAATTGCATTAATATGATCGAATCTGGTCGTTTTTAATAATATATTCAGTGTAAATATTGTCGTATTCTATCAGATCTGATATTGTGTGATCAGAAATGGGCAAATCTGACGTTGAATGGTCAAATAATTAAATCTGATGATATTTAATAGTATATTTAGGATAATATCTTTTCAGATCTGACGTTCAATAGTCAGATCTAGTATTCTGTAATTAGATGTAGTGAAATCTGATTTACTTGAATGATATTAAGTATTATATTCAATCAGATCTGACATTATTCGGTAAAATCTGATCAGAGCTGACGTTAATTGCGTGAACATAATCAGATCTGATCGTATTTGACAATATATTCAGCTTAAATGTTGTCATATTCGATCAAATCTGATATCTCGTGATCAGAAATGGCCAAATCTGACGTTTAATGCTCAGACCATCAGATCTGATCATATTTAATGGTATATTTAAGACAGAGATGCTTATATCTTTTCAAATCTGACGTTTTATTGACAGATTTGATCAGATTTTACGTTTAATAGTCAGATCTAGTATTTTGCAATTAAATGTAGTCAGATCTGATTTACTTGAAGGATGTATAGAGTACAAATAATATTATATTCAATCAGATCTGACATTTGATCAGAACTGATCTTTTTTAACAGTGCGATTACTTCAGATATTATCATATTTCATCAGATCTGATTTTGAGTTGTCAAATCTTATCAAATCTGATATTATTTGGTCAATTGCGATTAGATCTGACGTTGATTGCCTTGATATGATCAAATCTAATCGTTTTTTACAATACATTAAGTGTAAATATTGTCATATTCGATCAGATCTGATATCTTGTGACCAAAAATGATCAAATCTGATGTTAAATGATCAAACAATTAGATCTGATCATTTTTAATGGTATATTTAGCACAGATACGCTTAAATCTTGTCAGATCTGATCAGATCTAGTATTCTGAAGTTTGGTATAGTTAGATCTGATCTATTTTACTGATGTATTAAGTACAAATAATGTTATATTCAATCAGATCTGATGTTATTTAGCTAAATTTGATCAGATCTGATCATTTTCGATGTATTCGCTCCAAATATAGTTTTTTTTGATCAGATCTGACATTGTATGACCAAATCTGATCAGATCTGTTGTTATATGGTCAGAATTGATCAGATCTGATCATATTTAATGTTGCCTAGTCTTCATAAAATTACAATTAATCAGATCTGACCAATTATGCTTAACTCTGTCTAAATCTGACCTGTATTCTCAAAAAAATTTTAATTAATGCAACTACAAATCTTAAAATTTCCCAATAAAAAAATTTTTTGAACTTTTAACTTCTACCTAATTGTATAAACTGGATATATAAAAATAAAAAAAAAATTAAGCAATTAAAAAGTTAAAAAGTAGTTAATAAATTCCCTGAACTTGAATAATAAATCGCTTTATAAATACCTTTAGAGCCGCTGAATAATAGATCAGGTGTAACGTCAATAGCCAGAACAGCTTTACCGTGACCTTCCGCTACGTGGCTGCACTGCAAAGTCGCTCGGGGTTGAACTTTCCCAGGATACGGTGAAATAATACCCTTGCTTGGTTGCGGATTTGTCGTCAGTGGTTGTCTAGCGGCAGTTAGCCTCGAGAAGACATTTTCTTCACGACTATTGAATCGCCTATAGATGGTAGGCGATCCAGGTGGCGAAGAAATCTCCATTTGCGCCACCTGTTCCCTAATTTGTTAGATTTTAGGTTAAGTGTTAGTAAAAATTATTTATTAATCTAACATTTAATAAAATAATAAATCACTTTAATTATTGTAATTTATTAAACAAATATAAAATATACAAATATAAATTATAAATAATATAGAAAAATTTATACAATTACATGCCTAGAGGGTAGTTTTGATTCAGCGTCTAGTGAATAAAATTATAGACAAGGTTTAGCGTGCTCGACATGCTTAAGTAATGTACTTAAAAGGTGTAACAATTAACAAATAAATAATAACATATTAATTAATGCACGGAACAAGACGACTCACATGGAACCGCCCAGTCCATGGTGCGGCCGACGCAATGGCCGCGGAGAGGTGCTATCCCGCCTAGCGAGTGTTGGAGATCCGCCATGCTGTCCTCGCGTTAATACCAACCCCCTGTTTTCGATATTTAACATTTATTGTGAGGACCGAGGAGACCACGGGTGAGTTCACAGTTCGTTTTTACAAGGGTTAATTAATTTTTAACGTACTTTAGGCTTCCAGGCGCGCTGGGGACGCGCGTCAGCGGGTGGTTGTGGTTTTGGTTCTGGTTCTGCTGGTCTTTGGAGTCGGTGGTTCCAAAAAGTAGATCGTTCCGCTGAAGCTTGCGCTGGCGGGCTTTCACGCGCTTGCCCTCGGTTTCTTGGTAGGTTTCACTGCTAAAAATTATTTAGTAGTTTTTGTAGATAACTTTGACTATTTTCAATAAAATAATTTTATATCAAAAGAAAATTTATTGTCCACTGGACTACAAGAATAAATTTAAAAAATAATTTTATTAAGTTAATTAAAAATAAATTACAAGAAATTTTATTTTGAAGTTTAAATTTTCCCGCGGATAATAATTGTTTTCATACGAATTGAACGCCCTCTTTCGCTCCGATGTGAATCATAAAAAAGGACCAATTAAAGACTGTATTACTTTTGGTCAGCTAAAGAAAACAATTGAGAATAGTATAAGCTGTCTTAAAGCTCTATTTACAAATAAATTTTCTATATGGCTGCTCAAAGGACAGAAAATTTCTCCAACTTCTAGCCGAACAATAATTAATAAACAATATTAAGCTACAATTTTTAATCCTTTACTTCCTTTAAGGCAGATGAGAAGATTAAAAAATAAATTGAGTTAAAAAATATATTTTTTTAAAAGTTATCGTGTTTGTCCCTTCATAAAAATTTGAAAAATCTACACTATAAGCTATTAAAACCACTTTTTTATGTAAAAATAGCAATTAATCGATTTAAAAAAATTTTGATAAGTTCAGCGATGATTTTTCTTTCTAATAGTGTGGTTTTTGTATAATTTATATGTATATTATAACTGTTGAGCATAATTTAATGTGATAATTGTTGGATTCTTGATTTTTTAGGCGATAATATAATAATTTTACGAACGTAATAAAGCGAATGACAAAAATTTTCATCATTATTAAAATTATAATAAAAAATGAAATAAATTCAAAATTAAAATTGATAAAAGTTATCAAAGTTGAAACTCAAAATCCTTTAAAAATTTTATTAAAGAGGACGGCTGCCCAATTTTTCAAAACACAGTAACTAACAATTTTAAGATATTTAAAAATTTTTCTTATTAAAAAAAAATTTGCGCACCAAATTGATAAAAAATTTGATTTATGAATAAAAAATACTTGAATATAAATATTTTTAAGAAAAAATACTTAAAATTAAGGTCTAAAAATTATAAGAAATGCAACTTATAAAAAATCAGGTATAAAATTTTTGCCGTTACTGTGTTTTAAAATTGGGCAGCCGAGGAGTATAAATAGAAATTTTTTCGCAAAATTGCATCTTTGAAAAAAACATTTTTTCTCCCCTCCGTGCGGAAAGCGTCAATTTTCTGCTCGCTGCGCTAAACGAAAATGCCGCTTTCCGCCTCCGTCGAGGAGAAAAATAGTATTCTCACCACGGGCAGGAAATAAGAAAGCCTCAGATCACATGTTTGTCGACCTCGGCTTCGCCTCGGTCAACAATTACATGTAATCTGAGACATTTCTTATTTTCCTGCCCCAGGTAAGAAAAATACTATTTCTACTTTTTAAATTTTTAAATAAATTTTCATAAAAACCTACTTCGGACTAATATTAATACTATAAAAAAAAAATTTTAAAAAAACTCACATATCTGATGACGAAGACCTCGACATAGAAGGACTGTAATTTCCCTCATTATTAAAAGCGAACAGCTCTCTATCGCGCATGACATGTTCAAGCAACTGATGCTGAACATCACTCTGCTGGGTGACCTGATTCAACCTGCTCTCCATGTCCCTGAACTCGAGCTGTTTCTGAGCAGCACTGCAGCTCTGATCGACAATGAACCCAAGCATCTTCTGCATGAGATACTGCGCTTCATCAACGCTCTTAATCGAAGAGATGAGCGCTTCAACACCAGGTTCTCCTTCAATATCACAATCTCCAACTTCGACCATGTCCCTCTGGCACTCAGCAATGCTGTCTTGAACATAAGAGATCTTGCTCTTGACATTATCAATGTCATCATCAAAGTAGCTCGTGTCTTCATTAACAGCCGCGAAGACGGCTCTGTTTTTCTCCAACTGTTCCAGGTCGCGACCCAGCTGCTCCCTCTCAGCTAGCAGCCTCTCCATCTCACGCTCCGTCTCCGCAGCGGCTTGCTTCACCAGGGTGTGCTTGGTGATGGTCCTCTCGAGGGTCTGCCACCTGGACTTGAGACTTTTTGATCCCAGCTTCGGGGGACTTCGCCCCGCGACCTTCTCGCTGAGTCCTCTGTCGCGTTTTCTGAGTGCTGTAACTTCTTCTTGCTTCCGCCGGAGGACGACTTCCTTCATCCGCTTGTCGGCTTCCAAGGTCCGGATCATGTTCGCATTCTTACGGCTTTCTTTTCTGAGCTGGGCGATCTCACGGTTCCGACGCAGCTCGTTGTCTTTGTGTCGCTGACTCTCCAATCGCATTTTTCGTAAAAGTTCTACCTTCGCGTGCTTCATGTCCTGCAGCTCCTTGTGCAGGCTCTTCAAGCGCATCTGGCTTTGAGTCTGATTTTTTAGCAAGCGCGCGTGCTCTTTCTTTGCTGATTGCAAGATTCTCATTTCTTTCTGCAGCGATGTTAGCTTCTTTTCGTATTCATCTCTCAGTTTCTGGAGAAAAAAAAAATATTATAAGATTACCAGGACCAAAATATTTTGATTCAAATTTTTTATATTGCGGCGGAAATATTGGTCCTATAGAATTTGTTCTAAATTTAATTTTATAGAAAAAATTTTTCTGATGATTTTTTTGAAAAACAAATATTTTCACTGTAATTTTAAAATTAAGAGAATATTAGTTTTTACGAAAAGATAGAAGAAATTAATTATAACCTATATTTGCTAAAACGGCTATATCGCGTTACTGATGCCATAAGGGCGTATCCCGAAAAAAATACCCTTAAAAAGCCATAAGGGCGTACCAAAAAATTTTTTTTTCGGGAAACAACAACGTATTTTTACTTGAAACGCGTAGAAATCGAACCTCTTTAATGGTGAAATAATTTTTTTATTGTAAAATTTACTGTAGTTTTTCAGTCTTGATATTTAAGATAAAAATTTTTTTTTGAATTTTAATGAAAGTTATTGAAATAATTGAATGAAAAAATTTTTTAACAATTGATTTTTCGGGTAATTTGTAAATTAAAAATTTCTTTTTAGAATCTCAATTCAAACGCTAGTGACGCCATTTAGTTGAGTAACGCCATCTCACGGTGAAATTTAAAAATACTTATTTTGGCGTCAGTTTGAAAAAAAAATATATCGCGTTACAAATGCCATAAGGGCGTATTAGCCTATTATACGCCCTTATGGCACCCGGGTGCCATAAGGGCGTACCAAAAAATTTCAAATTTGAAAAAAATTTTTTTTCGTCATTTCTATGCGTTTCAAGTAAAAATACGTTGTTGTTTCCCGAAAAAAAAATTTTTTGGTACGCCCTTACGGCTCCCGGTAGGTACCCTGGGTGTCATAAAGGTGTACCAAAATTTTTTTTGCATTACTGCCTGTTTTAGGCATAACTACGTCGATTCCCGAAAAAATTTTTTGGTACGCCCTTATGGCATTTGTAACGCGATATATTTTTTTTTCAAACTGACGCCAAAATAAGTATTTTTAAATTTCACCGTGAGATGGCGTTACTCAACTAAATGGCGTCACTAGCGTTTGAATTGAGATTCTAAAAAGAAATTTTTAATTTACAAATTACCCGAAAAATCAATTGTTAAAAAATTTTTTCATTCAATTATTTCAATAACTTTCATTAAAATTCAAAAAAAAATTTTTATCTTAAATATCAAGACTGAAAAACTACAGTAAATTTTACAATAAAAAAATTATTTCACCATTAAAGAGGTTCGAGCGTAACTTATGAGTCAAAATTCTTTATCTTAATTTGAATTTAATAATTGATGATTTTTACTTATTTAATAAAATCAAGTTATAAAATGACTTTCGTATAGGAGATAAAAACTGTGATTGTTAAAATTTAATATCTGAGTAATTAAGCGGTGAATAATTTTAAAATTTTGGGATTAGATAAAAGACGTCTTTATACGTATACTTAATTTCAAAGCTCAAAGTTAGAAATTTTTTTTCACATTTATACTAGTAAAAATTAATGGTACTTTTCTATATTTTCCAACATTATATTCATGATCAAATCTACTTTTAAAATTTTCCGACAGGTGGCGCACGATCGCTAAATCTTCTCCTTACTAGAGAGTTAATTTTAAAATTACAACTTTAAAAGCAAATTTTTTCCTTATACATTACAATTGACTGTTTAATATTTTTTCTCATTATAAATGTGAATAATGTAGGAAGTTATTTCGGTCCTTATACATTTATACGTATTTTTGCCATAAGTAACGTAAATATCAATGGATATTTCTTTTTACTCAGCACTAAGCAGTAGCGATTGATCAATCTCAATTGTAACTCTAACTTAAGCGACAATTCAGGTTGGAAATTATTTTTCACATTAGATTCGTTCGAACCTCCTTTAAAATTCCCATTTATGAAAAAACCTCAAAAATCCTACCTTAACTTTCTCCGTCGGCGGGGAAGCCTGCTGCTGAAGTGAGTTCAAAACCTTATCCCTCTCCTCCTGAGTGTCCTTAATCCTAGCTTGCAACTGCGCCAGCTTATCTTCATAGTGCTGCTTCATAGAAATGAGCCTCTTCTGAGACATCTCCAACTCCTGAATCAACCTTTGCTTCACATCAATATCCGAAGTAAGCGCCTCTAACTCCCTTCCCATAGCCATTTCTTCATCCTCCTCCTTCCTGTCTTCCTCATCAGACTCATCTTCACTCAAGGACTCTTGTCCATTTTCCGTATTGTCCCCATCAGGATCCTCATCATCCTCCTTACTGGCCGTCTGTTCCTTCAAAGCGTCCAGCTTATTAATATCCTGCTGCAGCGCTTTCTTAGCAGTGTCCAAAATGGACGGCGCTTCAAACCCATACTCCGCATGTGGCGCCACTGGCTGCCTTTTCTTCAGCTGCTGGTACATAGCTTCCGCTTCAAGCAACCTGGCCCTCAACTCTTCAATTTCTTGGACATAACCCAGGACCAATTGGGACGCGTCTTCATTTCCCGAAGAGACCCATTGGCCCGCGGCTTTTTCCGCGAGCAGTAGCGCGTTCTTCGCTGTTAAAGCTTCCACAGTTTCGGACAAAGCTTTGACCCTAGTCCGGAGACTCTGCATCTCGCTGTTGAGCATCTGGGTCTCGTGCCAGGCGTCATTAACACCATCTTCTCCAGCGACGCGCTTTCCTTGCCTGAATTCCAGAAGTTCCAACTGAAGCTGCTGAATTTCCCGGCGCAGGGACGCGATTGTCCTCGAACTCTTGTCCTGGTTGATAGTCACCTTGTTCTTGATGTTCCTCGCACGGTTCGCGTACTTCAGCGTGCTGAGGGTCTCCATAAAATCCCTATCGCTGGGAGAGATGCAGGCTATCATGCAAGTCTGGGAATTCCCGCCGAGAGAATCTTGCAGGAGACGAGTCAGCTTTGAATCTCGGTAAGGCACGTGCAAACTCTTCTTGCTTTTGTCCCCCAATGCAGAAATTACGTTCCCTAAAGCCAACAGCCCGCAATTTATGGAGATTCCTTCCTTAGCGCGGTCTCCGGTGGCACCGGTACGCTTCAATCGCTCGGAACCTGCGAGATCTACGAAGTGGAACTTGGCGGTCAGAGTCTCGAATTCGTTCATTGGGTCACTGGTGTCCACGTCCGCGTCTGGGTCTTCCACTCGGATGCAACGCTGCTGCTTGATGAACAAAGTGAAAATTGCGTGGGATCTTGAGGATTGGGTGTTCATTTGAGTCGGACCTGTGGTTCGCGCCAGGGCGCCTAAGCGAAGGTATTCCAGGGCTTGCTCCGGGTTTGTTACTACTCGAGGTTCAACCCCGGTCAGGTGGATGTTTCCTGAGGTGTCCTCGTGGATTCGGGCACCTCCGCTTGGCCCGCCGGGTTCGAGCAGGTCTTTTAGGTCTTCATTGTAGAGTTCGAGGAATTGGGCTGTTATCTAGAAGACATTTTTTGATGATATTTAAGTTAGCAGTCTAAACAATATTTTTTTTAAATAAACAAATTTGTTCCAAAAAATTATTTTTTTTTTAATTGCGTTTTTCATTTTTAAAAATTTCTACATGTCAATTTTTTATGACATTAAAACTAGCAGTCGCTTGACAAGTTTTTAATTTTATTTAACAAAAAAATTTGTTCCGAAAAATTATTTTTAAAAAAATTGCATTTTTAATTTATTAAAATTTCTAAAGGTCCATTTTTTTATGCAGCAATTTATTTATTAGAAAAAATATTAAAATTATTAAATATCGGCTAGATTAATTTTTATCAATTTTTTGACAAAAATTGTTAAAATTGTAACAAAATTTACTGAATTGATTTTCATAATTTTTGGTTGATTATATTGAGCAAAATTTAGGATTTTTTTCGATAAGTAATTTTTTTAAAAAATTTAGTGATTTCTTTTTATAATTTATAAATTTTTAAAAATTGAGTAGTATATCTAATTACCATTTTTTTTTAATTAATAATTTTGTCTATCTGATCATTAATTTTCTTACATAAATTAGTAATGTTTTAAATTAACGTAATTAATTTTTTATATGCATGTACACAATTTTTATTTGTTTCATTATATTATTAAATCGAAAAAAATATATATATTTTATCTCTCTGAACATAATTAAATTGTATTAATTATCTCAAGATAACAAAAATATTTTCAAGTTTTTAATAGAATAATTTCTAATAATGATTTTAATTATAATTAATCTTTTCTTTGTATTTTTTTCTATGTATAAGCATTTAATTAAATGTCAAAAAATAAATTTTTATATTTTTATTATTTTAGTAAAATTATTTCAAAAAATTCAAAAATAATTTTTCCTTCAAAAAATATTTTGCAATTAAAAAATTTGTAATTTTAACCCATTAAATATCCAGAAAAAAAATGTTTGGTAATTATGTACAAGGTCAACCCCATTTTGGGCCATAATAGATAACTAGGTGAAAAATTAACATTGAAAAAAAATTTTTTTTTTTATTCTATTTGGTTTTACGGCGCATTTATGATAAAAAATATTGTGAAAGGAAAAAATAAAGATTTCGATAGCTTTTTTGCCTTTAAAAATTGGAAATAAAAATGGCTTTTATGTTTTTGGATAAAATTTCTATTTCATTTTTCTTTGATGTTTTTGATATAATTTTTTTTTTTGAAACATTAAAAAAATTGATCAATTTAATTAAAAAAAAAATTTCTATTTTATCTTTTTTTTGAGGTTTTTTATTGAAAAATCCATAAAAAAACATACATTAAAAAAAATTGATCAGTTTGATTAAAAAAAAAAAACTTTCTATTTATCTTTTTTTTGAGGTTTTTTATTTTTAATTTTTTTTTATGTTTTTGATATATGTATATATTTTTTTAATATTTAAAAAAAATTGATCAATTTGATTAAAAAAAAATTTTCTATTTTATTTTTTTTTTTTGAAAAATACATAAAAAAAATTGATCAATTTGATTAAAAAAAAAAAAAAAATTTTCTATGGCCAAACATAGGGTAAAATAGGATTGACCCCACTTGTAAATAATTACCAATTTTTTTCTACTAATATAAACTCTCACCTTGAACTCCGGAGGCATGTGACCACGCTCCCTTGCCCTAGCCTGTTTAGCAGCGATGCCATCAAAGAGGTGTCTGATCGCCCGGGGAATAATTCCCACAACATGATCACCAATCTCGATATCGAACCCGGTGCCCATGGTATACGTTTTACCGGACCCAGTTTGTCCGTAGGCCAGGACAGTAGCATTGTACCCGTCCAAGGCGCCTTCCACCAATTTAGCGACGCAGTTATCGTATATGTTCTTCTGCTCGATACCTGTGTCGAATACGTAGTCGTACGTGAAGGCTTTGTCGGCCCCCAAGAATACCTGGGGCTCCCCCGCCGGCACTTGTGTGCATATTCGACACATGTCAATCACCTCGCGAGCTACTTGAGGCCTTATCCTGCAGTTCAATTTATTGATTAATATTTATTTTTTTATTTTAATTAAAGAGCCATTGTTAGATATTTTATGGTAATGTTTGTAGAGTTTATGAATTTTCGAAACCACGCAGTTGCACCCACGCGAGTGAAAGTCTTACTAGTAGAGCATGGTCTACTTATTCTATCTTAGATTTGTAAGTTAATGTTATTTTATAGGTCTTTTAGGGAAATAATTTATTTTGAAGATTAAAAATCTATTAAATATTCATAAAAAATTTATTTTGTATTAATAAATTCTTGCTAATTTTTTTTAAATATTTTTTTTTAATTATAATTAATATTTATAAAAATTTATTTTAAATATGAAATGTTTTTAATGAATTTTTTATAAATGTATTTTTTTAATATAAAAAAATTTTTATACTGAAAAAAAATTTTTTTGAGTTAAATTTTAGTCAATTTTTTTATTAACTGTTATTAAAATTTGTTTTAAATTACAGAATATTTTTTTAGATTTTTTAATACTGTAAAAAAAATTTTTTTAATTAAAAAAAAAATTTCTAGAGCTAAATTTATGCCAATTTTTTTTATTAAATATAATTAAAATTTATTTTGAACTCCGAATTATTTTTTTCGGATTTTTTAATATATGTATTTTTTAAATACCATGAAAAAAATTAATAAAAAAAATTAAATATTAAAAAAAATATTAAATGTCCAAAAAATCAACTTGTAAAAAAATATTATTTATATTTAAATATAATTTTTTTCCAGGGGGTTCAACATCTGGATTTTTAAAAACTTACTCAAGATTTTTTTATCTAAATTATCATTGCGATAAAATTATTTCTAATAGCAGATGGTCGCTAATTTCAATCATAATTTATTCTGCATAAATTATTATTTTAAAAGTACCAGATATCCAATAATTTTTTTTTGATTAATGATTAATGTTATAAATTTTAAAAGAACATCTCAAAACACATATTATAAAATGAAATTTATTAATTGACAATAAATTAATTTATTAAGTACTCTAATAAAAAAAAATTAACTTTATTTAAGAGAAAAAAATTTCATTTTATTATTTTGAATAAAAAATGTTCTTTAATTAAAAAATTTCTTGTTCTAATTTTTTTTCAATTTGACAGTAAATTTTTTTTTAAAATTATTTTCTAATTTAAAAATTTCTTCTTTTAAAACTAAATTTTTTTATCATTTATTTTTTCTATAAAAAATCAATTAATAAATTTTTTTAATTATACATATATTCACCTCAAAGCATTATAAAAAAAAATTAAAATAAAATTTCGACAGTCACTTTTTATTCAAGGGCCCAAACAACCGTTTATTAATAAATATTCATTAACCCTAAAAAAATATTTACTACAAATGAATATTTAATTCCAATTAAAATTTTATTTTATAATAAAAAAAAAAAACATAAATTAACAGTTAATTAATTTTATTAAATATTAAAAAATAAAAATTATTTTTATCACCCAGAAATTTTATAAATTAATCCTCAAAAATATTTTTTATAAAAAAAAATATATATATATATATATATATATATATATATATATATATATAATTTTTTATAAAAAAATTCGGCTTAAAATTTAAAAATTTTTCCAGCTTAATATTGATTAATTTTCAAAACTAAAAAATTAGAGTTTGAAAATTGAAATTTCTTAAAAAAAAAAAAAAAATGAATAAATAATAATTATTTTATAAAAAATTCAATTTAACTAATTAAAAAAAAAAAGAATAAATAATAATAATAACAATTGAAAATAGAAAACTCACCTCACAGCAACTCTTACACTAGAATCGTCAGTCATGATGAATTATAGCTAAAATATTAAAAAAAAATAACGAAACAACAAAAAAGAATATTTTGGCATTGGTAAGATTTCAAAAGCGAAAAAATAAAAAATAATAACTCAAAGCAATAGATAAAAGCTGAAGACAGCGTATGCGTATGACTGAGCCTCAAGTGCTCTGAAAACTAAAACAAGCTCAGCAACTTGACCGAGAGAGAGAGAGCCGAGACAGTCCACTGTCTCTAACTTCCGTTTCCGCCGACTGGGCTCTTTTCAACGCTTGAATAGAAGACACCTGGCCGAAAACACCCGAAAACGCCCGAAGAGACCGGATTGGTCGATGGTCTAGATCGTTTTCCGTCCTGGCGACGTTTGATTGGACAGCGCCTCTTGCGGCGAGCGCGCTTATTAGATGCAGGGGTGTAAAATTCTTGGAAATGTTCACTTAGCCCCCACTTGTCGGATTTGCGCATTAGTGTACTTATATGGAGTGGGAGATTGCTACATTCTCGGTAAGAATCTAAGAATCGTGCTTAATTGTTTGCTAATTATTGTCTCTCACGTATCGTAATTAGGCAGAGTCCTCTTCTATCTTTTGTCAAGCCAGGGATTATGCAGGTTTGACTTATTATATTGTTTTTTTTTAAATTCTAGGTAAGAAATGGACTTTTTAATGCTTAGGTGGTAAACTCATAAATAAGGTAATTATTTTTAAGTAAAATAATGAGATTTATGCCTTTATTTTTGGGGGAGAAAATTAGGAAAAGCTTTTAATGCTGCGAAGTATTTTTTGAAAAATAGGAATGAAAATTTATTAAGCGGATATTTAAGGACGTTTATGTTTAAGACTTAATAGTAAATATAAATTTATATTTTTTAATAACATTAATAAGTTTAATTAGATTGTAATCTTTCCTAAAAATTGAAAATTTGTTATCGATTATTTTAAAAAATTATTAACAATTTAAAATTAAATTTTTAACATAGGGTAAATGCACCAGTTGTTGACCGGTCACCAATTAGTTGACCGATGTATAAAAAAGTTAATTAATTAATATTTTACAAGGGTTTTTTTTTTCTTAAAGTATTAAAATAAAAAAATATGGCATTTAATCATCATAATAAAAAATTACACAATTAATTGCACAGTGATTATAGCTTTTAAAAAATATTCAGAGTTTGTTTACAACGCAACCAGCCATAAAGCGGTCAAAAATAACTACCGTACAATTGGAGAGTGAGTGCATTTCATCATTAATTGAGTGATATTTATCGGCATAATATAAAATATTTTAATTTTATTATGTTAA